CAGGACTAATCTGTGTTCCACATGGGCACATAACCAATCTGTGGGAGCCAGAATTCTTGCTGGTTGGTTGGGGATCAAATACTTATTTCACTCACTGAAATGCAAATCAATTTCTAACCTTTATATAATGTGTTTTTCTGGATTTTTTTTTATTGGTATTCTGTCTCAATACATTAAAATAAACCTACCATAAAAATTGCAGACCCTTCATTTCTTTGTAAGTGGGCAAACATACAAAATCAGCAGGGGATCAAATAAATATTTTCCCCACTGTATACTTCTATGACCCAATATTATTGGGGATCCAATCTTGGGGTTTAAGTGGCTGTTTCAGGTATTGCAGATTGTATTGTATAAGGAAATTATCCCAGTGAGCTGTAATGAAAAAAAAAGGCTGCTACGAAGGTGCAAGGCATCAAAGTCAGCTTGACAGTATAACTTCTGCTACGGAACATTTATTGCAACGTTATTGTGAGAACTGACAAAATAAAATAAAATAAAATAAATAATTGCAAAACCATCTATATGACCCTAGTATAAATTTGAGTTCTGCTGGCCTTACACTCCTGAGGCTTAACAAGAGCTTAACACACTCAAACCGGTTAACTGAAATTACTGAATCAGGGCCTGCCTACAACAAGACTTACACCTCTACAAGCTTGATCTGCCCTCTGATAAATCACTAAAGAGAGGTATCGTTTGGATGTCACAGCAAAGAGTGTTTGTGGTTTTTATAAAGGCGTAATTGCAAAGAAATGGCTTTTTCTAAGTACCCCGTTTTTTCCTTCACTATATGGAAAGTATGTTGTGTATGATTTCAATAATCCATCGACTGAATTTCAGATGGATTCCACAGAAAGAAAAGACAGATGGATGAACCATATACTGATAAAAACACCATCACAATTTTAAGTGGTAATTCAACTGAAACATCGAAAACACAAGTTCACGTCCGTGTCCTCGGGCAAACTGTATCTTCATCAAGTTGCATCTGTTGCAACTGCCAATGCCAAGCTACTGTATAGTCTGAAGGGTTGTTTGTGAATTAGTTGTAAATCTACCTTTCCTTAGTAAATCTCTATCATGTGCTTCATTGATAGACACTTACTGTAAATCAGATTTTTGGAAGGGGTAAAGTGAAGTGACCAGTATATCTGATTCAAAAAGTCTCCATTTCAAACAGTCTATGGTGCCATTAGCTAAAAGCCCTGAGCAGTCTCAAGCAAAATTACTCTTGAGGAAGACCAGCTTGTTCATCTCCTCCGCAGTGACCTGCTGCTTTCTCTTCATAGCTAAGGTCTGCTCGCAGATGCTCACGCACTCTCCATGCACAGCTACAGCCGGTACAGCCAGCAACCACAGTGCTAACCTCGACAGCCTGGGGTATCTGTCCATCACTGAACTCCAGTACTGCAACAGGTCACCTGTGCCATTGAAAAGTGGTTCGCCGAGGTACTGGAACAACTCTTTTCGTACCTGTGGCTCTTCAGCATCACACGATGGCCTCTCCAATCCACAGTCCAGGCGGCCACGCTTGGGTGCTGACGGTCCTTCACTATCCCGCTCGTCCACAGACGTACCCCCAGAACCACCGCTTCCGGCTTCCCTCATATTAGCAGCAATGTCACACACCCTTGATATAATGTCCTCGTGCTGGTATGCAGGGACTGGCCGCAGCTTCAGCTGTGGATCCAGGATCATTGCGACTTGATGGACACGTTCCACTTTGAAGTTCTCCTTCAGGGCTTCCAGGAAGTAGTGGCAAAGCTTACTGCCAGCACCCGCTTCACCGGCTTTGGAGGTGAAAAGTTTTTCGAGACGGAGGTAGACGGGAAGGACGTGTTGGAGCGTGGGGCAGCGTTCCACACTCAGCTCCTGTGCTGCCTGTCTTAGCGGTGCAAGCAAACATGCAAGCGTGCCAAGCAGGTGCTTGTTCAGGCCTTGCAAGAGCGGCACAGTGCTCTTCGAACGGCCGTACGCTTCACAGGTGGCCTCAAAGTTCTCGTGAACCTTGAGCAAGGCCTCTGCAACTGCATCCCAGCAGGGCGGTGCGGCAGGCTCTTCCGCAGCTTTTTCTTCATGACTGAAGCTGGTCGTCGCAGCAATGTCACGACAGGTAGCTAGAAGCTCTCCTAGTTCATGGAGCCCTCGTGCTTGCAAGTTGCGGCGACCGAGAACAGCCTGAACCGTGGCTGTTAGAGAGCAACCTGTGCAACGAAGGCCAATTCCGGTGCGACCGCAAAAGGCTAACGAAGACAAGCGTGGCTCTGTCACGTAGACTGTTCGGATTTCTGACATGACAAACTCTGACAGAACATTCTGGACCCAGTGGTGTATCTGCTCAGGACTCTCCCTTAAAGAGGCCTCCTTGAGTCCCAGCACATAGCGTCGGAGTCGCACTCCCTCTACTTGATACGCTGTCAGCAAATAGCAGGAGTCTGGTCCTAAAGTCTGGGAATGGCAGGTCACTGCAATACCCAAGGAAGAGTTGGACCCCAGGGCGCAGGTAACTTTCACTTTGACCTGATTGTACATACGGGGGAGCTGTTTTAATGCCAGCGAGCTCATATCTCCGAGGGCTTCACGAATGGAGTAGGCCCCATTACGTGAACCTGTGTCCACCAGGGTCTGCGCAAGCTTCAGGAAGTCTTTGCTGCTGAGGACGCCAAGAAGGCCGAGGTCTACGCACATTACTCTCAGCAAACGTTCAGCCACTTGTTGTCTCTCCTTTTCTGGAAGTAATCTGTTCTCTGCAAAAGCAGAATGAGACACATAAATTAGGCTAAGTTATCTTTACGAGTTAACTGACTCAACAACTGCAACCCATCATATAATCAAAACCAAAAATATAGTTAAAAATTGCTGAGACACATACAAGTATGGCACTTTTTCCTTTTATGAATCTGTAAATAAAACTCAAGAAGTGCATGCTGTGGATTAATCTGAGCCATCCCTGATTCCCAAATAAATGTAGAAAATCAGCAAGAACACCTGCATTAATTTACATTAATTTACAACCATAACAAAGTTACTAACAACAGCAGTCGAAAAACATAGTAACTGGTTAGCTTTAATAGCTTTAATTTACAGGCCCAAGCAAATAATACACTTAATTGAGTGTGTCGTGAATCAAGTGTGAATGGATTCTGGTAATGCTGGTAAGAAAGAACTCACGAAAAGACGGTACGTGGTTTCTCTGTTGTGCCGGCTGAGGAGATTTCCACATCTGCTCCTGTGTAGCCACAGGCGCTTGGCAAGGCTTCGGAGACTCATCTTTAACATGGTTCTCATTATCAGCTAAAAGGGGATTAAAACAGAAGGAAGAAAGGGAAGAAAGGATGTACTCATTCTTGGGAAAAGCATAGGTATTCAATGAAAACCAATAAGAGAAACTCATTAAACTCATTGAACAACTTACAAATGAGAATGATCAATTGATCAAGTTCCACACAGAATTAACAATTTTCAGATTTTCTGAGATGATTTTGACAGAAAATCTGTGGAATTGACCTGCGCATTCTAAAATTATGCTCTTCGAACGGCCGTACGCTTCACAGGTGGCCTCAAAGTTCTCGTGAACCTTGAGCAAGGCCTCTGCAACTGCATCCCAGCAGGGCGGTGCGGCAGGCTCTTCCGCAGCTTTTTCTTCATGACTGAAGCTGGTCGTCGCAGCAATGTCACGACAGGTAGCTAGAAGCTCTCCTAGTTCACGGAGCCCTCGTGCTTGCAAGTTGCGGCGACCGAGAACAGCCTGAACCGTGGCTGTTAGAGAGCAACCTGTGCAACGAAGGCCAATTCCGGTGCGACCGCAAAAGGCTAACGAAGACAAGCGTGGCTCTGTCACGTAGACTGTTCGGATTTCTGACATGACAAACTCTGACAGAACATTCTGGACCCAGTGGTGTATCTGCTCAGGACTCTCCCTTAAAGAGGCCTCCTTGAGTCCCAGCACATAGCGTCGGAGTCGCACTCCCTCTACTTGATACGCTGTCAGCAAATAGCAGGAGTCTGGTCCTAAAGTCTGGGAATGGCAGGTCACTGCAATACCCAAGGAAGAGTTGGACCCCAGGGCGCAGGTAACTTTCACTTTGACCTGATTGTACATACGGGGGAGCTGTTTTAATGCCAGCGAGCTCATATCTCCGAGGGCTTCACGAATGGAGTAGGCCCCATTACGTGAACCTGTGTCCACCAGGGTCTGCGCAAGCTTCAGGAAGTCTTTGCTGCTGAGGACGCCAAGAAGGCCGAGGTCTACGCACATTACTCTCAGCAAACGTTCAGCCACTTGTTGTCTCTCCTTTTCTGGAAGTAATCTGTTCTCTGCAAAAGCAGAATGAGACACATAAATTAGGCTAAGTTATCTTTACGAGTTAACTGACTCAACAACTGCAACCCATCATATAATCAAAACCAAAAATATAGTTAAAAATTGCTGAGACACATACAAGTATGGCACTTTTTCCTTTTATGAATCTGTAAATAAAACTCAAGAAGTGCATGCTGTGGATTAATCTGAGCCATCCCTGATTCCCAAATAAATGTAGAAAATCAGCAAGAACACCTGCATTAATTTACATTAATTTACAACCATAACAAAGTTACTAACAACAGCAGTCGAAAAACATAGTAACTGGTTAGCTTTAATAGCTTTAATTTACAGGCCCAAGCAAATAATACACTTAATTGAGTGTGTCGTGAATCAAGTGTGAATGGATTCTGGTAATGCTGGTAAGAAAGAACTCACGAAAAGACGGTACGTGGTTTCTCTGTTGTGCCGGCTGAGGAGATTTCCACATCTGCTCCTGTGTAGCCACAGGCGCTTGGCAAGGCTTCGGAGACTCATCTTTAACATGGTTCTCATTATCAGCTAAAAGGGGATTAAAACAGAAGGAAGAAAGGAAACACATTATGTACTCATTCTTGGGAAAAGCATAGGTATTCAATGAAAACCAATAAGAGAAACTCATTGAGGGGTGAAAACAACTTACAAATGAGAATGATCAATTGATCAAGTTCCACACAGAATTAACAATTTTCAGATTTTCTGAGATGATTTTGACAGAAAATCTGTGGAATTGACCTGAGCATTCTAAAATAGCCCAAGAGGGTCCCCAATGACCAATAATTTTGCATGGCTTTTCCATTAGTTTTTGTTTGGATTTCATTTGAAAGAAACTGAACTTACAAATTCAAGCCTGTTAAATGTTTTAGTTGTGAGCCATAATTTTGTTTTCTTTTGACTGCAGACATTCCAAGACTTTTGTTTGGCTTGAACCTTTTGGAGCTCGTTGACTTTCATAATATGGAGCTAAAACATTTTTTTAATATATACGTCTGTGTTCCGCTGATGAAAACATCATACGAGTTAGGCCTTTTTTTTGATGACAATGGGAACCCTGTTAAACAAACAGGTATGCTGGGAGTGTGAACTTGACCAAATGAATGACTCCATGCACGCCTATGAATAAGTGATGAGTAAAGATGTTCAATTTACTGATCATACAGAGCAAAAAGCACATGCATATTATGCAGTGCTCACATAATGCAGTCTGTAAAAATGTGCCCTTTGCATAAAACTGTTACCCAAGTGGTGATGCAAAGAAATAATGTAAACAAAACAGAGTGAGTCCAAATTTGGATGAGCTCACAGCTGAAAATTGTTTCATTTTCTGGGCTCACTCACCAGCATGGGACTGCATGTGCTCCAGGAGGTTGTTGTAGAACTGGAACTGAATTCCACAGGCTCCACACGTGTAGGTTTCTGGAACACAACGTCCAGTTTCTCTCAGAACATAGAAATGTTCTCAGAACAGAGCGTAACCGGCTAGCCTCACATCAGAGCACTACATACAGCTAACAAATTTAGGTCAGCGTCAGGCATTCAGGCTAAAGGTTTTTACTTAAAGGTTTTAACAAACCTGCAAGCCATGCTAATGGCACAAAATGGGCATGAATGACGTCAGTCATGATTTACAAAATATGGACTATATGAAACATGAGAAGAGTGATATCAAGTGAATAATGAAAAAGGTCAAATGGATTTCCAAAATGCATACTCTGAGGGCTGGGACGGGAAGAATAAGTCCGGCTGTTTGGAGTATCTGGAAGACAAATAATTCATGTTATTTTTAACCATGAGTACACTTCCATGCAAAGCGCAACACTTTATAGTAAAGGTTTCAAAATTAATACAAAAGGCCCTAAAAAAGTATTAGAGCACTTAAAACCAACTGTATCATATTTGATATGCAAATTTCGAAGTCCACTAAATTATCAACATGATCAAAACTTTACTGAAAAACATGATGCACCCAATCTACTACATGCCTTCTGTCATCAGATTTTATACTTTTATAGTATTTTAGTTTTAGTGAAGTAAAAGGCCTTTTAGTAAAGTTGTGAAAATGTCCACCTTTTGATCGTGGTACATGTTTGTTTTTTTTGCTGTGAAATTTTTGGTGATTTCTATAAAGTAAGTGTAAGAATAACTTTTATATTGCTATTAGTAATATTTTAAGATGAACACTTACTGGACGGAAGCACATTAGGTTTACTTAATATTTTTTTTCATCAAATATGATCATCAGGCTTTTGAGGAACGTTTATTTGTTAATCTCTCAATCATCATTGTATTGCACTGCATCTTACTAAGACATATTATTGTGAATCACACAGTGACAACTGATATTTATATACATTTTATGTAAATAGTCTGATGCAAGTTGATCCTATTGATTTACATTACAAACTATCAAAATGTAATATTTTTGACAATATAAAATATCAATCAGCATCTGCACTAAATGTCATATTTGTGCTCATTTTGGGCTTTTGAATCAAACTGGGGTTTTCTTTTCTTTTTTTGTATGGAATGCGAGATCCATATTCTCACTATATCATACTATATGAGCCATAGACGCCTGATGTATCAAATATGATACTCAAAAACATATATTTTTAGATTTTTTACAACTTTTTAGATTTTGTTTAAATGTTCAAAAAACTGTTTCATTTAAACAAGGGATTTTTTTTCCTGATTATCATTTTATATGTCAGGCTAACCAGGGTTAAAAATGCTTGAATGTTTTTCATTGGGTACGAAATATAAAAGCAAGCGGCATCTGCAAACAAAATGATGGTAGGCCGACCTTTGTCGTCGCTTCTACAGAAAAGTGGGAAGTTTTAACATTGATGATACATGTGTATGTGTGTTATTTTAAATCTTCCATTTGCGGGAACAAATTGATGAGCTGTCCTTTCATCATTTAGCACATTTCTGTGTGGACTGTTTAATGAATCTGCTACAATGCAATACAGCTTTGGCAAATGAAAGTTTGCGTAACACAAACTATACAGGAGCGCACAGTGAACCCTCAACCAGTTAAGCAAACAGTGTTACTCAAGTCACAAGCAAAGAGGTTACCCATTCATAAAAGGGGTCATTATAGATGTAGAAAGCATTGAAATGACCATAGAAAACAGTAGAGCCCGACCGATATATCATTTTGCCGATATTATCGGCCGATGGGAACAAATTGATGAGCTGTCCTTTCATCATTTAGCACATTTCTGTGTGGACTGTTTAATGAATCTGCTACAATGCAATACAGCTTTGGCAAATGAAAGTTTGCGTAACACAAACTATACAGGAGCGCACAGTGAACCCTCAACCAGTTAAGCAAACAGTGTTACTCAAGTCACAAGCAAAGAGGTTACCCCCGTAATCGAGAGTACATCTAGAGGCCCGCTTTCGAATGAGACCACCCCCGCGTCGTTAGCCCTCGGGGTTCGGGAGTTACGGGTGGTTAAAATCCGTGAATGAATGTTCCAAGATGAAATAAACTTTAACAGAATAAAGCTGAATGGAATTGAATTGAATTAAAGTTGAAAAAACTTCAACTTTACTGTTCAGTGCACTGATGTCAGACTCATTTTGGATAATAACGTTTATTGTTAAATTGTTAAATGCCCTGCCTCCATTACGTATCTCTGTCACGTCATTATAAGTGTTTGAACACCACATTTGAGTGATCATTGCAAAAAAT